TAATTTTAAAAATATAAAAGACAATTTTTTTATTTTTTTATTTCTTTAAAATACTTTTAATAATGCTATAATTTTTGATTTTTATAGTAGACTTAATGTAAATTAATTTTATATTTATATTTTTTTATGTAGAAATAGGCCTATATAAAATATATTACTGTTATAATGATAATTGCAAGTAAAATATTTATCTTAACTAAGTTTATATTTTGATATCAAATTTACATAATAAAATATTCACTTTATTTAGTATAGTCTGTTTCAAATAAAATTTATAGTTTAATAATTTAAATTTTAATAAAATTAAAATAACCTAAATTCAATATTCAATAGTCTAATAGTTAAAAGTTTATTAGTCTAAAAGGTTAATACTAATTATATTATATTATAAAAATTAGTATAAATTATTATTTTAAAAATTAAAATTTATAAAATTAAAAAAATTTGTTTATTTTTAGATATTAATATTATCAAATTTAAAATATTAACATTTGAATCAAATAAATTTAATAATTAAATTTATTAATTATTATTAATTTTTTTTTTAATAATATATTATTAAATTTTTAAGTTATTATAAAATAGATTTAATTAAATTTAATCTAATAAAAACTTAAATTTTTTTTAATTAAAATTAAATATAAAAACTTATATTATATATTATAAACTAGGAAATGAAAACTGTTATAAAGTCTGAAGTTTTTTTATTTTATATAAATATATGAATACAAAATTAACTAATTAGTACTTTTTGTTCAGATTCTATGAATGATACTTGTATTATATGTTAACTTTTGTAAAAAAATAAGTAAGTAATAAAAATAAAGATTAGTATAATAATCATTTTAAAAATTTTATTAAAATTTTTCAATAAAAAATAAGGCATATATTTTATACGAGTACATATAAGTTTTATTTTTAATTAAATTATTTCATTTTCAAATAAAATTATAAATTAATTTAGATAAAACTGCAGTTAAAATTCTCTTATAGAGAATTTTGAATCTATTAAAAAAGAAAAGTTGGTAAGCAAAATAAATTACTCAATAAATAAAAAAATGATTCAAATGAGTGCCACTTCACACATTCATATAAGTTCTCATTTGTACAAATATAACTAGGTATGACTTTAACTATATAAAGCTTTCATAGAAATTAGAGATCATAACTAAATTATAAATAGTGATCGCAGAAATAAATTGTTTCAATATTTAATTATCAGTATTCTCAAAGTATTTCACAACTGGTCAGGTATTTTTAAGATATTAGAAATATGTATCAATAGATATAATACAATCAGATAAAAAGACATTTACTAAGTAAATCATATGAGAATTATAATCACGATTTATCTAAGATTACTGTAATGAGACTGCATAATAGCAAAATAATTTATCTCTTATATATGACTATTATAATGAGACTCTTACTTACCTTTAATTTTGTTATTCTTATTTTTTGAGAATAATTTTTTCGTTCATTTTATCCTCTGTTTTTTTCTGTTTTTATTTTTTCTGATAATATTTTAATTCTGTTGAGGTTTGTTCATGAATAAGAATCTGTGCATTTGAGAATTAATTTTCTTTGTATTATGTTCTTTGTTATTAAATATATCTTAGTATTGGTTAAAATTCATGTTTAAATGCGTCTATTTATACAATGTAATTAAATATATAGTGAATACAAAATCAAATAATCAAAAATCACGTGTGCAGATAATCAGATATCATCACGTGATCTTATTTGTGACTACCTTATATAAAAGTATATAGTCCTTCATTATACTTTAGACTAATAATATATCATATATATTGATAATTATATTATTAGATCTTAAATTTTTAAAAAATATATTTTTTAAGTTTATTTAAACTATAATAATAAATTAAATATTTCTTTTTAATTTTTTTAAATATTATAAATAATATAAATATTTTGTAATTAGAGTTTCGAATCAGATCAGGTTGACCTGTTTATCTGACCTGACCTGAAAATTTAGATTAGGTCAGTAGATTTTCAGGTTAACCAATCATCGTTCTTGAACAATATTTTATCATTCAATTAGAACAATTCATTATTATTCTTGAACGATAGTTTTATCATTCAATTAGAATGATTCATTATCGTTCTTGAATAATAATTTTATTATTCTTAAACGATGATTTTATCGTTCTTGAACGATTCATTATTTCAATTAGAATGATAATTTTATCATTCTTAAATGATAGTTTTATCATTCAAAAATAATACTTTTATTATTCTTAAATGATGATTTTATTGTTCTTGAATGATAGTTTTATTGTTCAATTAGAACGATTTATTATCGTTTGAGAATGATGATTTTATCATTCAAAAATAATGTTTTATAATTCGATTAGGTCAAGTCAGATTAGATCAAATGAAAATTTAAATCAGGTTAGATTTTTGTTTGATCTGACCTGATCCTTTTAGTTTAGGTAACTTGACTGACCTGACCTAAACTGACTTATTCAGAACTCTAGTTATAATTTTTAAATTAAAATATATATAAACTATAGATGTTACCAAAATCCTCTCAAAATAATTTTATATTCTTTTCTTGTTTTTAATATAATTTTAATAGTTTTAGCTTTTATCATATTAAAAGAATTTTATTGTATTCTTTATTATAACTTTAATATAGTTTTGATTAAATTTAGACTATTATTAAGAGTTTTTATCCCTCATCTATAATATAAACTTAAAAAAAGTTTCTTTTATAATTTTTTATTGTAAAATACTTATATTTAAAATTACTAGATTATATCTAAAAGTTTTACAAGTTATCAAAATGAAAAAGATAAAATTTAGCAAAATTATATTAAAATCTTATTTAAAGATTTGCAAAATTTAGAAAAAGGTAAACCTAAATCAAATTCATAAAAATGAAAATGGCAAAATATATAACTTTAATAAAAAATTAATAAAACTAAAAGTTTAGATTTTTTATCATTCTAAAATAAGTTTATAAAGCAACTTTACTTATATTATTTTATTATTTGATAAAGATTATTATATATATATCTAATTATTAATTATTTATTTAAATAAATTAGAAATTAAATATATAAATAATATAATTTCTTTTATTATATAATTAAAAAATAATTAATAATGATATATATTATATAAATAAATAAAATATTATATTTAATTAACACTGATTATTATATTACTAATTATAATTAAAAATTTTTTATAAATATATTAAATGTTTTAATTTTTTTTAGTAATATTTATTTAAAATTTATTAAATAAATTAATAAATATAAAATATATTAATTATTTATAATTTAAAAAATATTAATTATAAATAAATTTAATATTTGTTATTTTATTATATAATTATAAATAACATAATTTTAGAAATTTTAAAAAATTTTATTTTTTATTATAATTATTATAATTATAAAAGTTAATTAATAAAATAATAATAAACATTAGTATTTAGAAACTTAAAAATAAACTTAAATAAATAATATTATATTTTATTATAAATAGGTTTAAATAAACTAAAATTAAGAAAAATTTTATAATAATTATAATAAAATTTATATTATTTAATATGAAAAATTATAAATAAACAATAATATAAATATTATTTTAATATTTAATTAAAAAAAATAATAAGTTAAAACTAAATTATAATATTAAATAATCTAATATAACAAATACTTTTTACTTATAATGAATTTAAATTTAATTATAACTAAGATTGCTTATTTAAACTCATTTTAGATATGGCAAAACATTTATACTTTAGTTTGCTAATTTTTTATTAAGGCTTTGATATAGATTTGCATTTTTATAAGCTTTGATATAGTTTTACCTTTTCTAGAATTTCGCAGATTCTTTATAAAACCTCTAGGTTTTACTTAGCAATCTTAATTATAACATTTTAATTAATTTAAAATTTAAGATTATTTTATTTTTATAATTTTTATATATTATATAAATAAAACTTTTGTAATAAGAATTATAAAAAGAAAACAAAAATAAGTTTATATAAAATTAATATATTTTAATTTTAAAAAATATAAAAATGATAAAAAACCTTTTGAAAAAATTGTTAAAAAAAACTAAAATGCAATAAAAATCTCAATTTTGTTAAAAAATTTCCCGGAACCTGATTTTCCCTTGCAATCAACCCAAATGATCTAAATAATTTTTTTTTAATATATTAAATTTATAAATTTATAAAATATAATATAAGAATTAATTTTATTTTAAATATAATTCATTTAATTAAATATTAAATTAAATTAATTTAATATATTTATTTAATTAAATCTAATACAGTAAATTTTTAATAATTTAATTTTATTAAATTTATCATAATCTGTTAATTTAGGTAACCAAAGTATTCCGGAATTGTAATCATACCTCTTGATAATTCTTTATGTGATATGTCATTTTCTTTACGTTATATCAAAATCCAACAAAATATTTTCCATCAAATAAATCCAATGCCCTAAAATTCCTTGTTTGTGTATCATAACTTCATATCGAGTAGGTTTGTAGTATATCTAACGGGGGTAAATACAGTATCTAAACTCAAATAGTTCTCTCCTTTACGGTTTCTCAAAATGTTGCTGATCTGCACACATTGGTCAGCATTTTTTAATAAAGATTTAGAAAGACACACCAAATTATTTAAATCTCGGTGAATCGTTCAAAAACCTAAGCCTTAAATGAACAATTAACGTGGTGAAGCAATTCACATCTGTTGTTCATGCAAAATCGTTTATTTATATTACTCAATTATACGTATTTAATTCGCAACTGTTTGGTATAATGATACAATTTATTTATTTATTTTTTAATACATATTATTATTATGATATATCGAAAACTTTTAAAGGAAAAAAAATTAAAGTTAACGATAAATTTGAAATTAAATATACAATAAGAAATATTTATAAAAGATGAAATATAATTTAATATATTTAAATAAAACTAGAATAATTTATAATATTTCAACTTTATACTCCCAAGAAAAAATCCATTTCATCATCATCCTCTTCATTATTTAATAGCCAATTTAAAGTCCATTCCCATATCATGGAAATTAAAGAGGCGGCAGGAGGTGTCCAAGGTGGCAAAAATGGATCGTCATCGTCATCTGGCGCATTAAAGAACGGAAGACATCCCCTTGATTTCTTATTTTTCTTCTGATTATCATCAATGCTTGAAGGTAGATGATTGTATATAGCGTCATAATCGAATTTAATAACGTGCTCTTTGGGAATTTCCTTCTCTTTCTCCTTTCCTTTTTCGGTCTTTTCTTCTTTCTCTTCTGTATTTTCTTCGATATCACTCATTAACAACCTACTCCGTCTTTTCAATTCCTTTCGTTTATTCTTGGCATTAGTTATAGTCAAAAAAATTTCACTTATATAAACACTCCAAGCTAATCCAGTTCTCTTCAATCTTTCTTTATCATTATAATCTTTTTCGATCAACATTGAAATTAAAGCTTTTGGTTGTTGTACTTTCAACTTCTTCTCTATAATACTAAAGCATTTTGATAACCTTTCTTTTGCTTTGAACTCTTTATAAAGTTCTCTTTCACAAAGTTCTTCTTCGCTTAGGTCTTTGGTATCACATAATTCAATCTTAATCTCTTCAGGGTTTAGTAAATCTATTTCCCCCATTTCCCATTCAATGTTCAAACATTTAATCAGAGCAGCTAATACGATACCATCATTCAATCCTATAAAATCTTCCAAAGGATAATTCGATGAAGGTAATAACGTTGTATAATTAATTAATTGCATGTTAATCCAAAACAATAAATTAGACGTATTGGAATTTATTGGTGAAGAATTCAAACGTAAGGTTGTAAACCGCTTTGAGGATTGATTGTCATTTGATTTATTATCGTTAGTGATCGTGGATTGAAATATTGGTAATGATAATCGCTTTTCAGACTTTGATAAGTTTAGCAAATTTTTTTTTGGAAGCTCTGAAATGATTATTTCAGGAACTAAGGGTGAAGGAGAGGGAGAAGTGATGGGGGAATTATCTTCTGCGGATGTTTGCGCATTACACGTATCTATTTCTTCTTCCTCGTAAATTGTAGGAGAAATAACTTTCTCATTAAAGATTTCTTCGACGCTAATAAAATGAGATCTAAATTGTTGTTGAAATTCTTCAAAAGACTTTATTTCATTTTCATCATCATTATTAAACAAAAGCTTTTGAATGTCATCGTGTTTATTGTATTCTTTCTTATTATTCATAGTTTCTTTAAATCTTTCTTCAACTTCTTCTAATTCCTCCTCAGTAACTTCAAATTGTACGCTAAACGTTTGTATAAATTTTGAAATCATTAACCAAATCAATCCTAAAGTCAACTTAACACTACCATCAACGAGGTCTTCAGCGCCTATAGCCGCCAATGCGGTTAAACCTTTTTCATCCAAATGTTTTTGTAAGAATTTCAATACCTTACTAACGTTAGCAATTTGATGATGTCTCGTACTACCACGTTCAAGTTTTGGTAATTCCGAATCATTTGGATATAATATTTCAAGTAATTGTATTAATTTTTTTCCATCTCGAAAATCCTTGTCAATTGCCTTGATTTCTGGAAATTTTTTCTTTGAGGAGGAATTATCCATATGATTAATATCAATCATACGTAATTGCAAGTTAACCCATCTTGTGAAGGTTGATTTTTGTAATTCCGTATATTTATCAGCTATGTTTGAATGAATCTTTTGTTTTACATTAACGACTTTTGTGGTGGTGTCCCACTGTTCTCTTAATGAATTACGACGTTTTGGTTTCGTTGGTGAGGATGGTTGTGGCATATTTAATCAAATCGGAGAATGAATAATAAAAAAAAAAGGGAAAAAAAGAAAATCGGAAATGATTTTATATAAAATTCTTTAAATAAGGAGCACGACCGAAGGGGGTAAATCAAATGATCAAATTAAATTCCTGTTATGGGGTCTATTCGGCCGTGTAACGTCGACCTTGAAATCATCTTTCTTAAAAGTTCTTACTTTTATTTTCCTTGGAGCTTCCATGTTTACAATTTTCCTTGGAGGCTTCCATATTTACAATCATTAGGTACAAAATTTATGCACGATTTTGTAATGGAGACATAATTCGAACTTTACAAATTTCGGCAGGATTTATTGGCACAAACATTCATAGAATGTATGTTTAAATTGTTACATATGACAATTTGTTGATTATTATTATGTCACCTCGTGCGTCATTTTATAAATTTTTTTTTTTAATAATAAACCGATCGTGCGACGAAAAAAGGATACTCCTGATACTATTTTTAATGGAACTTTTTTTTTTGGGAGGATCATATGAAGCGAGGAAGGGATTATCATCTCGTAGTATTTATATATTGTATTAATTTTTCTGCTCATCTTTTTATACAGTACATTAATTTGTATTAATTAATCTCTTTTTAACCTTTTTTTTAAACAAAATAAATTGCTTTGTAAAAATTAGCTATGGTCAAGATGCACGTTTGGTTGTGGGATTTTCAATATAAAAAAAAATTCAATGTTCAAAGCAATTCGATTATAAATAAATAATTTTACTTTCTTAAAAAAAAAAATAAAAAAATAAAAAAATAAAAAATTTTCTTTAAAGATATATGCTCAATTTTTCTCAATGGATCCTCGTACTTTTACTAGATCACAAGCGCTTGGCCGTAGACTAAATAAGCCAGAACGTTACCAGCCAACGGGACCACTTCTGACGGGAAAGACTCAAGAAAACAAATCTTGTTGGGTGATATTTTCTAGAATAATAACATTCTGGGCACATCCTGCCTTGTTATCTTCAGTAGGGGGTCTACATGATAAACAATCAAGACAAGCATGGCGCGAAAAGATTGCTTTATGTTTTATCGCCTTGACCATGAGCGGTTTCGTTGCTTTTGTGACCATTTGTCTTACTTCATTCTTATGTCCTCTTTCGGATGCATCGAATTCCTCAAATTTCTCGAGATTTAATCAAACACCAGGTAAAAAAAAAAAAGCCTCTAAAATAAATAACCTTTTCCCGAGGATTGAACAATAATTTCTTTATCTCTTGAATGATAAAATAATTAGGCGTTCTTGGGATACTGGGCTGGCAATTTAACGTATTAAATGCACAAATACCGGGATTCTCCGTAATTGATATACTGAAAAACGGAGCCGGACAAGATATTTCAAACTATTTCAAACGAAATAATAAACACATTCATTCTTGTGTGAAAGCAAGTTTTTTAAATTTTGCGATTATTAGTAACGACCCTTGTGAGAATAAGGAATTTTGTGTTTTAAATTATACAATTAATGACGAAAATCTTAGACAATTAAACTTGATAAACACGACGAGGAGGGTTGGATATGATTGGGATCAACTTGTACCGTTAGATAATTACATAGTCATTGACGGAAATGTGTTAAATTTAGAACCTTACTTGACAACCGTAGAAGAAAATGAAAATGATTTAGTTGATAAAATTATTCGTAAAGTATTAAAATCAGGGGGGAAGGATGCGACGCGTTATTTTGATAGAAAAAAAGAATTGAGGGAAGCTATGAGATGTATTATCGATAAATATTTTGCCGGAAACATTGATAAAGATACGATCGGATGTTTTACATCAAAACTTTTCTTATACGTTTCATTAGTGGTGATATTAGGAATTTTAATGTCACGATTTTTAATGGCTTGTATTTTTAACTGGTTCATTTCACCTAGGCTCGCACATCAACCAGACAACGCATCTACAGTTCATCCACGATTGGTTGACAATTCAAACGTGACAATGGATGAAGTTGGAAATAATTTATTTACCGTATTGCTAGTCACATGTTATTCGGAGGGTGAAGCTGGTATAAGAACTACTTGTGAATCAATGGCCGCCACGGATTATCCAAATAATAGGAAATTGTTGTTCTTGATTTGCGATGGAATTATTACTGGCAGTGGGAATTTAAAGAGTACGCCCCAGATTTGTGTAGAAATGATGGATCTCTCTCCAGAATTCAAACGTCCTCAACCAAAGAGTTATATCGCTATTGCTGATGGTGCTAAACAACATAACATGGCTAAGGTTTATGTTGGTCATTTCCGTAAGTTTTTGGAATAATAATGAGTTTTAATTTCAAAGTGCATTTAATATATTGCTTATTTATTATTTATTTTTTTTTATATATATATTTTTTTTTTTGTTTTTTTTTTAAAAAGGTCACAAGAATAAACGTGTTCCAATGATTACTGTTGTAAAATGTGGCAACCCAGACGAAAAAGACGGTCAAAAACCTGGAAATCGAGGCAAACGGGATTCCCAATTAATTTTAATGAATTTTTTTAATCGTGTTACATATAACGATCGCCTCCCTTCTCTGGATTATGATCTATTCCGTAAGATAAAACATATCATGGGCGTGACACCGGATTATTTTGAAGCCGTTCTTATGGTAAATCATTTAAAATCAATCCATTTGCAAAAAAAAAAAAAAATAAATTTTGAAAAAACTTCAACCTGTGATTAATTTTTTTTTTTTTTAAAAAAAAAAAATAAAAGGTGGACGCCGATACCAAAGTATACCCTGATTCATTGCGATTACTCATTAATTGTCTGTGTAATGACTCTAAGATCATAGGACTTTGTGGTGAAACACGGATCGCAAATAAACGGGAATCATGGGTTACGAGTATCCAAGTATTCGAATATTACATTTCTCATCATTTAGGGAAAGGTTTCGAATCAGTATTTGGTGGGGTAACTTGTTTACCAGGTTGTTTCTGCATGTATCGACTTAAATCTCGTAAAGATAATGATTGGATTCCAATTTTAACGAAACCGGAAATCGTACAAGAATATTCTCAAAATATCGTAAACACCCTTCATCAAAAGAATTTGTTACTTCTCGGTGAGGATCGTTTCTTGACGACTCTCATGTTAAGAAATTTTCCTCGTCGTAAAATGATCTTTTGTCCTCAAGCAATTTGTAAAACTGTTGTACCAAGTGATTTTAAAGTTTTATTGTCCCAAAGGCGTAGATGGATCAACTCAACTTTACATAACCTTATGGAACTGGTGTTGGTCAGAAACCTTTGTGGAACCTTTTGTTTTTCCATGCAATTTGTTATTTTTATGGAATTAATAGGAACCGTTGTATTACCGATCGCTCTCTTATTAACCTATAGTTTATTAATCTCTAATGTTATGAACCCTCCACGATCTTTTGATGAGGCAATACCATTAATAATGTTAGGAGCTGTTCTTGGATTACCAGCCATTTTAATTTTAATTACCACGAGAAAACTTGTTTACGTTCTTTGGATGTCTATATATTTAGCATTTTTAGCCGTATGGAATTTCATTTTACCTTTATATGCTTATTGGCATTTTGATGATTTTTCATGGGGTGAAACAAGAAAGGTTGAAGGGGAAAGTAAGGACGATGATCATGGTAAAAGAGATGGTCGATTTGATTCTTCTAAAGTTCCATTAAAACGTTGGGATGAATGGGAAAGAGAAAGGTTAATGGGTCAACGAGGTCGATTATTTCAAAAAAACCAAGAACTTTACTTTACAAATAATCCTCAAATGACACAACGACATAATATCAATCGCTATTATATATAGATAATTTAATTTATTTAAAAAAAAAAAAACTTTTAAAAAATGTTGCCAATCATTTCTACAATTGGATAAATCATTTATCTTTGTGTCACAGTAAAAATTTATTTCATGATATAGTAAAATAAATACAACATAAGAAAAAAAAAAATGGTAAATATTTTTGGGGGATACGTCATCCACCAACCTTTTCCTCTAAAAATCTAGTAATGGCATCGATACCAAATAATTCAGCTTCGATAGTATCCAATGAATGACCAGTTTCTTTATACATTTTACAAGTAATTTCAACATTTCCTTTGCCTTTTAAATAATAATACCAATTTAATCCATCAATATTTGGAACCCTTTTATCTTCGGCTCCCAACATTAATAAAGTAGGTGTTTTAACCTTATCAATATTATGAATTGGTGAATGTTCATACATCTTACTATAATCTGATGGTGTCACTAATGATGGATGTGCTAGTGAATAAGGCAAGCCTATTTCTGAAAAACACCTGTGAATTAAAAAAAAGATTTTTTAATTTTTTTTTTTTTTCCAAATAATTCGAATTGTAATTACATACCAATCTGGAATATCGGTAACAGACGCCATTTCTAAAAAAAAAAAAAAAAAAAAAAAAAAAAAAAAATCAATTTTTAAATCTTTAAATTTGGAGTCGAATCTTAAATAGTAAAAAAAAAAAAATAATACATACGTCCAATATTCAACACGGGATTTCTCATTACACAGGCTTTATAGAAATCTGGATATTTTCCGATCAAATGAGCCGAAATAAATCCACCGTGACTTCCACCTATCGCGATTACTTTGTTGGGATCTACGCATTCATTGTCAATAATATATTGTGCGGATTCCTACAGAGAATATTATACAAATAAAAATCATTTATTTTTAAAGAAGTTCTCGTTATATATACAGTACCTGTACTTCCTCAACTTCAAGTACGCCAGCTTTACCAACTAATGCGTTAATAGAATCTTGTCCAAACCCAATACTGCCAGTATAGTTAACTCGAATAAAAAAAAAAATAACCATCCTTAGGTCACAAATATAAATATAAATGATCAAATAAATTAAAATAAAATACCTGCTGCAACGGCATAACCTAGTGAAACTAAGGTGGTTATATATAACCTAATATCCGGCGTAGTCACTGAATGAGGTCCACCATGCGGAAATACTAACAAAGGTAATTTTGTACCTTCAGAAATTTCATTGGGCCTTATGAAAATAACTTCTAAATTGTTGTTATTTGGAACCGGTTGAATGGTTGACCAAGTGATGTTTGATAAAATAGGTTCGACTATAAAATAGATAAAAAGTATTTAGAAATTAGAAATTGTATTTGAATTTTAATAACCTAAATTACCTTCTTCAACATTTGGCTTATCTATACATGTCCAATCAACTTCTAACATATCCTTTTGATATCCTGTTACAATACCAAAATACTAAATAAAAATAATGAATTTATTAATAATCAATCTAATCTGCTTTCTAAATATCTAATTTATTTATATACATATAACATACTAATTCATTGAACTCATTAGGTGCCCCTCTTGATGCAATGATGTAATTATTACATGCAAGAAATAGCGTCCAGCTTCCCGTTTGAGTAAGATCCTGGACTCTTCCAGTTTCCAAATTTATAGCTAATAAAACTCCTCTACTTCTCCAATAACTTTGAATTATTAAAAACTCTTTGCCTTCAAAGACGATAAATGGTTTTCTACTCATTTGGTCATTATAAATGCCAGGGAATCCATTTTGGAATGAATGTGATGGTGTATGAACAACCGGAACTATAACACCGTGTGTGTTGGTTGAAAAATTATACTATAATTTTTTTTAAATATAACGTTAGACTTTAAACCATTACTGTTTTTAATTTAAAACATTAATTTACCTCGCGAAGTTCAGAACAATAACTATGCGGTCCACTAGTTGGATTAGAATAATAAACCTATTCATGTAATATAATTAATTGATCTTTGTTGAATTAAATATAAAAAAAAATTTACAAAATTTATACAAACAAAAACTTTTTCAGAAGGACTAAGTCTTGGAGAACGAGCATGTTCCAATTGCTGGGTCAAATGGACTAAAATAGAAACAAATTAATTTTCTAAAATTATAAATTTACAAATAAGCAATAAATTATATCATACCTAAATCTTTTCCATCAAGTTTACATTGATATATTCCACCGCTAAATTAAAAATTTAAAAACTAATAATAATTATGATGATATTTTAAAAATAATATATAGTATATATATTATTTAATCATACATTCTGTTGATACAAGCGGTAATTCCATAATAACGTGGTTCTCTATTATATCCGTTGAATATAAGTGTTTCATCTTTCGGACCAAAGAATACCTATTTACAAAATAGGTATTATCATTTTTTTTTTAAAAAAAAAAAAGAAAAGAAAACAAAGGTAATAACAAACGAACCTGTCCGGGAAATATTTTTTCAAATTCAGGTAAAACCTCAACTTTATATTCCAACACATTCACGATGACAATAACCGATACACATTTATTAGGCAAGGTTTCTCCCCATCCAGGAAGAAAATCACATTTCTAAAAGGCATGTAGGTTAGAATTAAGTAGTATAAAATTAAATTTGTTCGGTTTTGATATACATACCTTTTCGTCTTTTTCATCCAATGCTTTTCGTTCAGCAATATAAACAACATTCTCTTCATTTCTAGACCATTTCAAGCTTCCAAAATTAACTAAGTAAATAACAATTAATAGATATCATTTTATGTTGTCATAACATATAGTTTATTACTTACCATCAGAATAAAAATCTCCATGAGAGTCGGTCACGTCAATAGATTGTTTCAAAGTTCCTTTAATCCAAACCTAAATTTAAAGCCGCAAATTTAAAGTAATCCTTTTTTTTTTTTAAAAAAAAAAAAATTTCAATCATTCAATCAATCATACCTCAACAAATTTCTTTTTTCCTTTATCGTTTGAAACTGATCTTAATATTAATAATTTATTACCACTTGGTGATTCAGCTTGTAAAACTACATCACCTAAATCTACAGGTAAAAATGATGATGTGATAATTTTTGCCGTTGTATCTAAACTTCCTTTAGTTGGCAATGATACGACCAATTGTTTAACGATTTTTCTTTTAAGTTTCCTTTTCAAGTCTCTTTGACTTAATATTACTTGAATAGCTAGATAATTAGAGAGTTACAAATAACTATAAGTTTGAAAGACAATAAAAAATTCTCGACTTTAAAAAAGTAAGTTTCGGAAATTAATTTACAAAGTATGGAAGGATTATCTTCATTGGATAAAACTTTAACACCAGAATAAGTTGGTATTTTAGCTAGTGATTTAAACGTTTTTAGGCCGATACCATCTTCGTACTCATTACTATTATCAGGTGAGGATTCACCAGTCTTTTGAACCGACTTTTCAGTAAAAGTCATGGTTTAAATGAAAAAAAAAAAAAATTTTTTTTTTTTGAATGGTAAGTACAATCAATTTGCGGAAGTATTTATAATCTCGAGAAAATCCATAAAAAGATAAATGATCAAAATGATCATCATATTTGATGGCATATATATTTGTATAAATTAAAATTTTAAGGAGCAGCAGAAGCGATACTTTGTGAGTAATTACGATAAAGTTTATTTGCAAATGCCATGCGTCTATAGGTTAAAAAATTCCGATGAAGATTAAGGTATTTGTGCAACGCATTTACGAGTGTCTCGATATAGTGGACAATATCGATGTTCCGAATTGAGTTTACCATCTTCGATATGTGTTAATAAAATTCGATATGTCACGTGAATGTGTTTTAATAAATTCATTCTTTTGACTCCCATTTCTAAACAGAGGAAAATCATATATATGAATTCAAAGTATAATAGGGCCCAATATTAATCGCGATTAAAATTTCGAAATAGAACATTGGTTTATTAATGAAATTTATTTAATGAAATAGAAATGTCGCTGATTACAAATACAAATAGATCATATTATATATGTAGTTACATACGGAATATATAATATTACATTTTAATAAAGATTCTAATCATTTGTTATATAAAAGGATGACTTTGGTGTTGCCGATGTGAAATTTACTAATTCACTAATATAGAAAAGAGATAAAATCAAAATAATGGTCTTTTCGGGTACAATAAGATGTTATATACCTACTTTTTCAGCAATTCTTGCAACCGTAAACGCATTGACAAGTTGTTTTAAAGAAACCTCCACATCGTCCACAGCAGGGAATTTTTCCTCCGTCTTGGACCTTGTTTTTGCAATGATAATTGCATATACCCTCATCTCCTGGGCATCCAAATCCAGAAAGGACAACTTGCGCAGATATTAATAGAAGAACGAAAACGATAAGCTGTCGCATCATGATGTATTTTCAAACAATAAGTGTAGAATATAAGTGTGAGAATATTTGAAAAATCTTGGAAAAACTCTGGTATGTCCTTGTATGTCGAATCCTGACATTTTTATATTGTTTCATTCGCTTGACCCAAGAGATTATTAAAAGAACTTATTGTCTTCTTCAGGTTTAACAATCCTTGAAATGACTTCAAAATTACCACAGCTTTTATAAATTTAATGTCATTTGATAAAAAAATAATAAATAAATGATTTCATCACTAAAATTGGTGGGATTGTATTATATAGCGATCATCAATGGGACTTACTAATAAATATTACAAGAAACCGCAACATAATTATTAATTACAATGAGAACTTTATTTGATTGAATTGAACTAGTGACTTAATAAATAAAGGTTACAAGAAACCGAAATATAATTATATCGGACCATGATTGTATTCAATTCGTTTGGGTTTACTTTTAAAGTATTTCTGATCCAAAAAGTATTTTAAAATTGGATGAACACCGATTTAAAAATATGCAATGACGCTTTTGAATCATCTTTCCGCTTTTGAAATTGAGGAAATATTAAAAGATAACACCAATTATTTAAAATTATTTAAAAATAATATATAATATAAACTTATTTAATTGTCAATACTGTGATATTATCCATCATAATCTGGTAATAGTATTGAACTTGTCAAAAGAATTACTATATCCACAATTTATAGAAAAAGCGAATTATGGTCGACGTAAAAAATTATCGCAAGTGCGCACTTAGTCAATATGAAGACACGTTACTTCTTTTTCCACAAGAACTTTGGCAAGAAAATTAGAAAATATAGGCGTGAAAGTATCCGTACTCCCCAAGGTGACTCGAAATGACCAATATGTAATGACTAGTCATAGGTCATTTGGTATATATAATAAAATTGTAAAAACAAAAATGAAATAATACAAATATAGCAATTTTTTATAAGCATTTGTAAATATTTCATCTGAATCTAAAAATGAAGGAGATTCTAAAGAAGGTTCTTCATTCTTGTTCTTCACTTTGAATGGTTAATTATTCACATTTTTACTATTTTCTTCATTTCATCATCACTTAATTGAATACATTCTTTTTTATTTTATCATCATTAGGACTAATTGGTGTAACTATATAAAAACGTTATATTCTCTGATTTTATAAGTAAAATAAAATATCACTTTGAATTTGATTCATAATCAAAACTATTTTTTGCTATATATTATAAATAAATAAAGCCTAGATTAATTTATATAATATAATAATTAAAGGAAAAAGTTACCTCTAATTGATTTTTTCAATTAGTATATAAATAGCTATACTTGATCATAATCGTTCTACTGAAGCAGAATTAATATAAATGCTATAAATATGAATTGCAATATAAGCTAATTCTAGACTTATACCAATTTTGAAATTTCAAACAATTATCAAATTTTTATGAAATTGATTAAATAAATCCATATCATATAGATTTTTAATTTTTTTATATTTAATTAATTTATGTAAATTAATACAAGCTTAAATCCAAGATTATGATTTATAATAATATTTTAACTATTGTTAATATAAATTTAAATAAGATTTGAAGTTGATAAATAGAATATTTATAATTTATAAGATGGATAAAATGAAGAAAGAATTAAAAAATGATAACTCTTATTCTTTTTAATGAAATTTTATTTTCACTATAATTTTTAAACTAAATTCAAGATTATAATGATTAACTAAAATTTTGGTAGTATAAACAAAGCAATATAAAACTTTATAGAGTCAAGTAGTATTCTTTTGTAATTTATTAAGAAATCTACAAAGTAAATATAATAGATTTTGTAATTTAAATAATACAGCCTAATATTTTAAGTTATTAGCAATATCATTAAAAAGTTTTCAGTTACCATTTTAATAGTTGATTTTTTATTTGTTAGTACATTTAAAGTACCATTACTTTTTATTATATTTGTTTAATTATCATTAAATTTTGAAAAAACTATAAAAAGTAATTAATTTCTATTTTTTTATTAAAACAAATAAAATAATTTTAAAAATATAATAGTTTAGGTGCAGATTTTGATTTCAAAATAGAATAAAAGTAAAAATAATATGAATTTTACTTAGTATCTCTAGGAATAATTAATGTAATTATTTTTTAATATATATACTTTTACTTATCTTTAAGATTTTAAAAAAAAAAATTGAATTATAAAAAAACTAATAATTCAGATTACTTCTTTAGAAATTCTTTGATGTAATTTAAATCCTTAATTCGTGATTCACCGATCATGGAATGTCGATCATATATGCAGGTAATAATTAAAGCGAGGATAATTAATATATTTAAAAAATATACTTGTAACAATCTGACAATAACGTTATTAAGACATTGTAATAAACTGTTCAAAAGAATGTCCAGGAGGTGGTAACATTGATTGCTACTGACATAATTGTTCCTAACTTGCACTTTGGGCCTTTTTTAAGAAACTGGTGGCATGTTAGAACGTTGCAAGAGAATGGAACAAAATTGAACAATACTACCCCTTTCGAGTTGGAATGAAAATACAAGTTGAGCTAAAAAACAGACTTTTTATTATTTGAGTTGTTCAAGGAAACAAACATAACAATCTATTGCCAGGATTTTTATGTGAATCTTTGTTAGAATCTAACAAAGAAGTTAAAAATGACCCTACAAGTGCTATATCAAAATTGTACAAAAAAATATTTCAAACTAAAACACGTTTTTCTGAAGCATTGATGATAGGTATGGAAGACAATAATATTTTAGATGAACTTGTGTCAGACTTATTCTTTTAACCTTTCATGATAAGTATATAATAACAAATCAAAAAAATCAATATAATAATACATTCAATTGGTATGCTAGCAAAATAAGGAGCCAGATGTGGATTTACTTCATCTTTTATCTATTCCAAATCTAAAAAATGTGCTTTATTTTTTCAAACTGTCAATACAAATGGATGTTCCATTCGTATTTACAAAGAAAACTAATTGTCAGAAGAATTTCATAAGTTAGATCCTAATAGCGTGTGGAAAAAAATAGACATATTAAAAGAGTGATCAGGAGTAACATTATTCAGCTTAGATAATTCTAGTGTAAAAGAAAAACTAGAACAAGCAAGAAAGTTGTTATGTTTTCATGATGAATAGCACAATTATTCAAAAATGAAGCAATTATTTAAATATCATCTACGAAAATGAACATACAGCCAAGTTAATTGGTATTTATTGTTTCAGAAATGGAAGGAAAATAATTGTCAAATAACTGAACTACATAGTCAGTTAGATTTATTATATCCAGATGGTTATATTTTTTCTGAAAGGGAAATTTGAGCATGGCGTGCAATATTATGTGCTACCGGATGTGTTAATATAACACCATTTGATAAAGAAGAATCGGAGGTGGATTATTATTTTTGATTGAATCCATTGCTGGATTGCTTGTAGTGATAGATGCGGGGATGGATGTAGTAATGGATGTGGTGATAGATGTGGTGATGGATATTGGTGATGGTAGTATATAATCCGGTAGTGTAATTTTGTGATGATAAATTCACCCTTATTATAAATAAATAAAATAATAATTCAATTAAAAATTGCTTACCAAATTTTATAGTATGAATTTTGGACTCAATCATCCAATCCTGAATCAGATAAAGCGATGATCAATATGCTTTACCAAAGTGGTTTTCTACGAACAATACCCAAGAAAACATTCAATGCTACAGAAGTATTTTGAAAAAGTTTTGAACATAGCCTGAGTTTGAATAAACATGATGCTAATGGAAAACAAAGAATACTTTTAATTATTGCAGATAAGTTCCCTTATAAAGAATTACAAACTAGACTTCATGTAAATATTTTATGTTACCTTTGGATAAAATTTTCTTTAACTAATTCATTATCTTTTTATAGGTTTCTTCACATACAATTCACAATGCAAAAATACATGGACGCGTATTTGGTCATAGATGTTCAGCTGTACCTAAACCACCAATGCGAAAAAAAATTATGCCTCAAGAGCATAAAGATCAATTTGAATAGTTCATGAGTAGTAAGAAAAATGTGAACTTAAGCTCTTACAAAGTTGATACAAAAACGGGATTGCCATTAAAATACCTTAGTGATCAAAAAGAAGCTCTTTGGAAAAAATTTCATAAATTATATCCTGAAGGAATGAGGAGATCAGCATTTTTAAAAAGATTGCGAAATGGACCATTTGTATATTAAGAGGATTTGAAAGGACTTTGTAGTACTTGTAGTACTTATGGATACGATGTGCTTAAGGATTTAGCAAATCTAATATACAAAATATTGAAGATCAGGAGCTTCAGGTAAGGTATGATGAATTCTAATTTTTTTTTTTATAAATATTTCAAACTAATATCAAAATTGTTAAATTAGACATATTTACTGAAGAATATTGAAACTTCTAAACGATTTCTTAAACGTAATTATCCAAAACACTTACATGTGACTTGTAATAGAACAGTATCACATGACTCTTGTATTAATCATTGCTTACTATTTGCATTTGGTAATTGTAATGAAGAACATCTATTAGAATGTGATGAATGTAATGAAATCTTCAATTTATTTGAGAAATTACGATCATTGCTTGGAAATGAACAACAAGAAGTATTGAAAGAACTTCAGAAAATGTTAGAATATTACCTTGCACATTTAACAAGAAAGGAATATTTGAATAGTCAGTTCAATGCAAATCTTTTACAACTTAATAACGATGAAATTCTTATTGTAGTGGATTACAAAATGAAAATACTTCCAAAATGAGTTTGAGAAACAAAACAAGATTTTTATGCAAAGCGTGAATGGGCATTACATACTGTTTTGGTATATTCTAAAAATAAAAAAAGCAATGAATTAGAAATTCAAGCATTTGATCATTGGTCCAATGATAATAGACAGGATGCATGATTTACTGCATCATCCTTTGACGCGATATTTACCTTACTTAATTCAAAGCCAAAGTGGGTCATTGTAATGAGTGATAATGGTCCACATTATCATTGTTCAGAAATAATGGCATTAGTAATAGGCAAAATGGTATAATATTGAATGTAAAAAGTGGTGTTTTCTGAAAGCAGGAGAAGTTAAAACATCAATTGATAGTCATCATGCATAAATATTTATATGCTTTGCTTTTTTTTGAAAATTTTTATTTATTTAATTCTCAACTCTCTTAATTTAATCAATCAATCTAAGATATCACATGCTATTAAGAGATATGTTCGATTAGAATTTGATTTAACTACCGGTGAAGATATTGAAAAAGCATTAGATGGTTTAAGTGGTACATCAACAGCTTATTTAAAACCCAATCGTAATCAAAGAAACCAAAGCAATGTTAAAACTATATCTGGAATTTCTAATTGGTTTGAATGGTCATGGCCGGTTGAGGGTTCATTGGCTGGATATGTTTATGCACGTGATCTTCCTGGTTTTGGAGAAACAAAAATTTTTTCTATGAGTAAATTTATTAAAATGGAACTTGTACAACCTGAATCAATAGTAGGTGAATATTTAGAGGTTTCCTCAAAATGGACAATGCTAATATATTGAGCTTCAGGCAAGCTTATCTCTTCAATGGCATTTTAATTAATAAACACATATAGTTTCTTTTTATTGATTTTATTTGGTAGTGTCAAATGCTGATCGTTAGGATCTAAGAAGATGGTCTGTTGATAAATTAAGAGATGAATTAAACAGAAGAAATATTCATTTTGATATTATTTCAGGACGAAATGAATTAGTGAATTTATTGAAGCAAGAAATAGAAGAAGAAGCACAAATTGGTAAAGAATCAAGAGAAGATTTTTCAAAAATGGATATAGATGAGTAAGTAAAGATTTAGTTTTATTATATAAAATGATTGATAATTATTGATCAAATAATTTCTAAAATATAATAGAAATCGGATATTCCATCTACCTCTTGGATGGGCACTTAAATGCAATCAGAAATATGGTAAAAAAGGTAGTGGAAAGAGACTAGCAAAAGAAGTAGTAGCGGCATTGACTCATTTTTTTATGGTAGGACAACGTGATCCTAGTGATCGATACACTGCAAAGGATATGTTAGATGGACTAAAAGAAATGGTAGAAAATGGTGAACTTATAGCCGAAGCAATACCTTCTTTAAAAATAATAGAAAATTGGATTACTAGATTTTCTAGTTCATCGAAAAAAGAACATGCAGAACAATTTCTAAAACAAAATATTTGTTAAAAATCAATATTAGAAATTTAATACTAGCAGCTAGTAAATAAAGATCGAAAATTGTAATAAAAATTTACTAAATATTATTCAAATATACAAACTGTAAAATGGATCAGAAAAAGACCTTTAAATTGGTACTAAAACTGTAGCAATATTAAAATTTTATAATCAAAAAACACGTCAAATATGATTTTCTATCTTTTTTTTATTATTAGAGTATGTTTATTAAATTTAAATTGCAAAATTTGAACAAATATTAGAAATGTACAAATTGGAATTATAAAAAAAATCTATATATTAAAGACAACAATTTGACATTGCTCACTACTAAAACTTTTAAAATAAAAAGACGATGTCATCAAGAAACTATTTCAATTGAGACACATAATTATGCTGTTGTACTCACAAAAAAATGGTGGCTGAAAATTACATGTAAGATGATGTCTCCTAGTGACTAATTTTGGCAATTTTTCAGAATTACTTAGTAATCGGCAAAATTTTGCCTCACATTACACTAAGTATTTTATGTCACTGATCGGTGAATCACGAATTAATATGTTTTTTTCAAATATATATGCGAAAATTAATATGTCACACAAGACATGACTGATGATCTACTTATTTTTGTCACATAATCTGTAACTCAGCAAAAAATCTTCTGAGTTGGTAATCACTATTTCAGTTGATGATCAGTATTTCAGACACAAATTTGAATATATGCTAGCTAGAAATAAATACAATCATGACAAGTAATACTAATAATAAATTTGTTCAAAGTGAAATACTTAAAAATCAACTATATGAAGTGCTTTTATATAAGAAGATGGATGTATTAACTATTTAGGAGCGTTTAGCTGAAAGAAAACTTGATATTAATAATAATGCAAACCAAACAGCATTGAATCAAAGCAAGAAAATGGAAACACTTGATTATACAAGTAGACTATTGTTTGATTTAATGAAGAAAATTATATTGATAAAGGATGATCTTGAGATTAATGATCACCTAATCCTTAATATATTATATTGATATAGAGAAGATCTTATTGATAGATCATTAAGGGAATTTTCATTTAAAGAAAAATACCATTTACTTTTATATTTGGAAGAGGATATAAGTATTATTTAACATTATTTTGGTATTGTCGGTTATACTGATAAAGAAATGATAAAAGAAAAAGCTGAGAAAAATGTAAGAGTATATATTCAAAAGTTTAGACGTTTCAAGTATGATAATACAGAAATTTATTAATAAGAAGTAAATGCTAATCTATATTTTTTGTCGTATAGAGTATAATCAAACAAAAAAAAATCTAATTAATGATCATATGTTACGTATCTTAGCCCACTCTAGATTGTTGATTTAGCCTACATATTTAGATTTAAAAGCCTAAAACGCTGAGCTAAAATTCAGTATTAGTAACGTTAGATTGTATAAGATAATTTCTAACTGCTTCAATAAGATCAGAAGATGTTATAAATACACAAAATTTTTGACATAGATATTTGAATTAAGTAAAATGAGCTGATCTATAGCTTCTTTGCTAATTTTACAACACCCCCTTAAATTAAGATATTTTAAATTAAAACATGATCTAGAAATTTCTTCGATAATTATATCAGTAATTCAACAAAAGTCAAAATCGAGTTGCTGGAGCCTTGGGCAAGAGCGAATAATATTACAAATTGATATTTCAGAAACTCTGTGTGATTAGAAATATTTAGATATTCTAGTTTGTAACATAAATTTGTGATTGCAATTAATTCTATATTATTTTTTGGTCAAAATTTATTGTATAAAGTAGATATATTGAGATACTTCAAATTTGGATATGATTTTACTATTAACTTTAGAGTTTCACCAGTAGGATCTATACTTTTTTTCAAAGTTTAAATAAATTATATTTGGGAATGTATGTACAATACCTTTGATTTTTTTATTTGAAATTGAGTGGTAATATGATATTTTAAAATGAATTAATTTTGAGCTATAAATTGGTTTTTATCCTTTTCTATATGCTATATTTAAAAATCTTTTTAATCGAGATTTACCCTCTATTTTATTTTCCTTTAGCTAAACGCATTCTCATAAAATAGGAGTATTACATCTGTATCACAATCAGGAAACAAATAGGATAGAATAAAGAAATTTATCTATCGCTAAGAAATATAAAATCTGCTCTAGTAATTCCTATATATTAAAAATGCCTGTATGCGTTATAAATAATATATGCTATATCTTTAATCAAAAAAATAAAATTAGCTGAGTCTAGTTCGCTGGTAGATCACTGCTCTGAACTTAGCCTTTCCACTATCTCATCTAATGTAAGTTCATGTAACCCATCCAAATAAACTTTAAACACATTCTCAGTTAATAATTCTTTTAATAATATGCATTTAAAGAATTCTTCATTATGGTCAAAATTCTTGTTACACTCTTTTAGCTTCAAATAAAAATCTTTGACTGTATTTTTATCTTGAACTAATAACATAGTATTAAAATCGAAAAGAGTTTTTCTTTTGGACTGTTTAAGATCTATCTCTTTTACCTATATATCAATTATACTGTGAAAATTTTTTAGATTTTGGTTTAAAAGATTCTTTATAATAAATGGTATTAACTCTGGTGAAAGTTATTCTAGTAAATTATATTTTTGCATTTTTTATATGGTTAGAATATTTCAATCAAAAAATAAAATTATGAGATCATCGCTCTGAACTATCTAAATTATTCAGACTCTGATTCAGTTTCAGAGCTAAAAAATTCTGAATCAGAATAGTAATCTAATCAAAATTTTCAATATGAATATTTGAATTTAGCTGGTCTATGGCTTTTTGCTAATATTTTCACATCCATCCAAATCTAGAAATTTTAAATTGAGACATGAGCGAGCAATTTCTTTAATAATCATACTGGTAATATTATAGTAACTAAGGTTGAAATGTTGAAGCTTTGAACAAAAATATAAAACATTATAAATTGATGGTTCATTAACAAAATCACAGTAATCTAGATTGAGATATTCTAATCTATAACAAATATGAACCAGCATTTCAGTAACCTTATCAGTGATATCATTATCACTGATATCTATATGTCTTAAATTTGGAGATCCTTTGATGATAACTATAATCAATGCATCATTCTACAAAGCCATGGTATCACTAAAGTCAAGATATTTTATATTAAAATATCTTCACATTAAAGTACTAGCATCTTTGATATCTTCTTTACTAAATACAATATTAAGTTTTCATAAATTTGAGCATGAATTTAAGATGCAACTTATAGATTTATCTGTGATTCAACATACTTTGGCAAAATGGAACTCTTATAAATCATGACAATTATCTGCAATTACAAATAAAAATTTATCGGTAATATTTCTGCAGTAAGAAATATTTAGATGTTCTAATTTATAATATAATCCTATAAGTGCACATAAGCCTTTATCGGTTATTTCTTAAGCGTTCCATAAATTAATATATCTTAAATTAAAATATAATTCCGCTATTATAAATAGTGATTTATCACTAAAACCTATACTTTCTTTGAAATCTAAATGAATTATATTTAGAAATGTTTCCACAATACTTTTATTTTTATATCTGAAAGTGAATGGTAAAAAGTAATTTCTAGATGAGTTACATTTGAGACATGAGCTGGTTTATTCTTTTCACACACTATTTTTATAAAATTTTCCAATCGAAAATGATTCTTTATATTATAGCCATACCTTTAGTTATTTCTCTTCAGCTCAATATGTTTTCATAAATTAGAGCATTACATTTGTATCACAATCAGCAAACAAATAGAGCAGAATAGAGAGATTTATCTATTACTAAAAAATGTAAAATCTGTTCTAATAGTTCTGGTAAATAAAAGATGCTTAAATACGCCATAAATATTCTATTTTATATATTATATCTTTAAACAAAAAAATAAGGTTATTATCATATAATTTATGGCTCAGCAAATTCTTCTGAGCTGATGATTATTGTCTCAGACCTTATTCTCAACTGTGCCTTTCTTCGTTGCTTATAAGGGATAGTTTTTTTTCTCTTACCTTAATTATCTCAACTGAATCAGAATCTTCAGAAGATTCAGACGAATAGGAAAAATCCTTATACACAACGCCTTTCAGCCCTTTTTTACCAATCAGCGAAGAAACTATTTCATGTATTATGTCAATCACAGTGTCCTTATTTATATATTCGTCCAGATCTTCTAATTCAATTTTTATAGATCCTACCTCTCTTTCCAATCTTTTTACTGTTCTTTTTAAGTTAATATACTTAGAATAATAATCTTTCAATTATTTCTTTAACATCCTATTTTTACCAGAAAGCGCACTATATACTACTGTATTTTGCTCATTTAATCTGAATATCCAGATTAATTTCTCTGTGTATCTGATAACTTTCTGCTCGCTGGATACATCAGATGAATGATTTTAATCAGTTACCATTTTCGTGATATTTTATATATAATATATCTTGCCTCAAATGAAAAAATAAAATTTAATAAATGATGTCTAATCTATATATGTGATTAGTTTTCATCAAAGAGCTTAAATACCATTACCTGATCAAACAGACATATACAAATCATTATCAGAATTAATCCACATTTTCTTTTATCTTTATTTAGTTCTTCTGGGATGCTTTTAAATAATTGCAAGAAGGTGGGTCATTCATTATGCCATATTGCTTTCTAAATTCAGGTAAGAAACTTCTTTGCTCGTATTAGATCCTTTTCCATTGAAAAGAAAGGCTGAAGTTTCTCTACTCCTGTTTCTTCTTTAGTTTTAGAATAGCCAGTACAATACCAGAAATATTTAAGGTCATATCAGATTTCATCTGATATTTCATATTTATCAATATGAGGAGTTATCACATCCGCCAGTCATATGCTTAATATTATTATTACATCAATCAGATCTTTCTTAAAGATGATAAGAAGAAATTACATTTCTCAAGTCTTTCCTAAACTAGTTTTAAGAAGAAGT